GGGGTGCTCTGCCAGCTCTGGTACCAAGTTGTGTCGGACATGAATGCCGCCGCCCATCAACTTGCTTCAGTACTGCAAAGTCTTGCTTGACTACAGTATTTGAATTGCAATTGTTTACAGTTCGCTTATCATCATATTACTCAAATTACTGTATCTCATTTTGTCTCTAATAATTGTTTGCTTTATCTTGAAAAATAGCACCGCCTGCACCCCCTCTGGCCAGGGCTAGCCGGGTGCCCCCCTCGCATCCCCCCAGTAAATCCATCGCTGTGTTCTTGAACTCCTTCTTATCAGGTAGTTTCGTATTACATTTCGATTCAATTTTTCTAATATAAATATCTCGGCGAGTATTTACCCCCCTTTTAAATAAATGCCACCATTGAAATCCTCACAATATAACCTTTCGAACGGGGGGTCAAGTGCCGTCAAAACATTACACAAACCGAAACAATCATATATTTATACTCACCGCTTCGCCAAACATTCAAACGAGAAAAAGAGAAAAAGTTGAATAGATTCTAAACTTTGGTGTCATTTTCTGAAAGGATATATGTGTAAAATACTCTTTGTATTCAAGCGCTTTCGTATAGAAAGTTTCGTATGAATACGGTGAGTAGAAATATTTATTTTGAATTTTTCAAGGTATCGGGTTTTACTCGCACGCAATTGTATTACGTAATACTTGGCCAATAAGGAGCTCCCTTTAGCCGGGATGACGTCAAACGCACGCGTATGGGTGCACTTTGACCTGTAGAACCATTTCTGGCATTTCCAGAGTCACGCGATACAAACTTCGCATTGTTTTGACGGTTTTTCGTCGTATTTCCGGTTGGGATTAACGCAAATTCGGGGCAGAAATGCAAAATTCGGCAAGAAAACTCATATTTTAAAGATAGAAGCTTGAAAATAACAGTATACGTGTTATTTTTAACTGCTTCATTCAGCAAGACTACCAGAATGAGCTTGCATCTCAAGGGGCCGAAGTTATGTTCGGCGAAAGGTATGTCTATGTTTATAATTTGTTAGTAATATTGTGTAATTTGATCAAATACCAAGCTCGCTTGACTTTCAAAGCTCATAAATCGCTACAATTTAGCCACTGACTAAAACTATCGTTATAAATTAGTGTATATTTTTATACTGAATCGAATGGTAGTATTTTCATCTACATAGCGTGCACTGAACCAAAGATATGAACGAATTACATCCGTAGAACGTGCACGTTCTACGCGTAATGGACCCTGCTGCAAAAGAGTTAAAACATTTCGGGTTCCAAATCTTCTTGATAGTTCATAATAAACTTTAGCAGGCATGCGAAAACATTGCAGATGCATAGAAGTTATCAGGATAACAGGTGGTGTCAATATACATTTGCAGAGTTTTGAAAGCCTTTTTATACCATAATTGATACATAACATCAACATTTCTGCTGTTTATAATTGATCTATTTCATTTAAGAAAATGTCATAGTCAGGGTTGATGGCACACAATTCAACTGTTTATTCCTAGTAAATATATAAAATAGGTCATATATTGAAAGTCATTCATCAGTAACAAATGATAACAAGTATGGAAATTAGAAATATAATCGATGCATATAGTTCAGCATATGATATAATTCAGCATACCAGATCCATGCAATAATACTTTGTCGTGGAAGAAAATCCAATAAACAGAATATTATGTTAGTTTTGTACATTGTGTGCTATAAATCAGATCCCATTATGACATATGGTTGTTGTTGATTATATAAGACAATATAGTATGGGATAGGGGAAGGGGGATATAAATTGCTTACTTGGTGTTCTTGGCAATGACATCCAGTTGCAGAATTAAATCAGGATGGATGAAGAAGGTGATATACTGCAAGTTGATAATTATGACTGGTTGCAACTGTTACTATAAGTATTGATATTCCAATCTAAAGCTGAATCTCTGCTCTTTATGCAGTCACTATTACTTTGGCTTTGCTTTAAAGGTGCTCTACAGCCCGATCTGCGCATGTGCACAAAGGAGCCCACTTTTTATGATACAAACAGTTTAACTATGTTTTGGGTTCTTGAAAAGCCTGATTGTTGTTTCTTGATAATTTATTATACTCTAGAAGCTTGAAAATATAAATAGTTGTTGAATAAAACTCAATATTTTGGACACAAAAATGTAAACAAAGGCTTTGTTTACATACGGACTGTCGAGCACCTTTATTGAAAGCAATTATTCAATGCACATACATAAAGTGCTTTAACAGAAATGTTTCCAATATTTGCTTCTGACTCTGCTAAATTTGTATAAAAATGATCTATCAAAGTCTACTTGTCTGTAATGAAAGCAGACACCAATTGTCTATAGTTATGATCATTGATAAAGAAATTATGTAACCTTACGAAATTAAATAGCCTTCTATATTTGGTTTCATTCAACTAATAAGTAATTTATATTAACTAAAGTCACCAATGAAAATGCTAAATTGAGAAGTACATAAACATCAACACTCGAGTACAACTCCATATACACCCACAACGGCAACATGTGGAAGAATCATTACTTTCATAGTTTCATAATAATATTCTCAATGCCATGACTAATAGTCAATTTTCTTGTCAAAAATTGCGAATCAGTTCGTTTCCACTGCGTATTAAATGATGAAACCCTTCAAATGCTTGCCAAAAATGCACTATCGACATTTGCCATATTCAGACTAGTAAAATGACGTTGTTTTGACTGCGTTTGATGTATGATTTTAATCGTAAATTCACAAATTTCCCTTTGTTTCACCCTTCACTAAACCGCCATTTTGAAATTAGTATCATTACGTCATTTACGCTGTCGTTGATTGGCTATGAGCACGCTTACAAACTTCCGGTACGCGCACGATAGCAATATATCTGCATTCGCAAATACAAAAATCCGCCAGAGTTTTAGCTGAACAATGTGGCGTCGTAGATTTTGCAAGCTCGTTATAAATTCCGCCACAGTTTTAGCTGAACAAAATGACGTCTTACGTTTTGCATACTAATTACTTCCGAAGCAAAGTGGCGTCATTCTCGGCATCCTTTGTACTCCAGAGTCGGGGGTGTCACTACTTGCATCGGAACGTGCCATTTCAAGTTTGAATGTGTACAGTTTTGGTGTACAGGCAAAAAAACATATTGTGTTCGTGTTCCTTGACACGTGTTATAAAAATGAAAGAATTTTTTGTTATTTCAACATATCTGGTTTTATGAATGCATGATATAGTGTTTGCTGTAGTTGGCGGGCTTGGATCGTTTAAAGGAATCGTTTAAAAGTGGATTAGACACAAATTTACTTAAGAATGCATATAGAAATATTTCAAATATCAATAAACGAATTTATCGTAAAAGGATGGGCCAAGCTAGCCTATATATGTAGGTGTCCTAGCACTGCTAGATTAGGTATGGGTATCAATCTTATCCATGCCGCACCAAAAATGTAGCGCAGTGTAAGTTTATATAAGTTTCCATGCAACCCAATAGGGTTGCATATGATGATCTATAAATACATAATAATTGCAATTTGTGTTACTTACCAAAAGTTTGGATATGAATGGCACTGTCACAGTTCGCTTTATACGTACCGCTGCTTTTTGGTGCTATTTACACGAAAACTGACTTTGTCACAATGATTACAACTGCATGCTGCTCGCTGTTCTGTTCTGTGCTGTATTTATATATAATTTATTCTCTCGGCCCCTCCCTAGACAGGATGTCGTAAAGCGATGTTTTCACAGGATGTAACGCGTGGTGAATGCGTTCTGCGAACTTTCCCGACGTCAATATTACGTATTAAGTAGACTTTATTCAGTCTGTAATTGATCTGCTTTATTTATTAAAGTTCCGTTTCAGCCTATATAGTTATGCGGACAACGCGCTGAGAAAGCCAATTTAAATTCCTAAAAATTGTTCGCTTTTTGTTCCACTCATGAAAAATAGTTTTTTCCACATTTTTTTTCCAGCGACTTACTAAAAATACTTGCTATAATGCTCTATATTTTCACTATCCAATAATAATTGTTAATACTAACACTGCAAGCATGTAACAACTGAAAATGTTGAATTTTCCTTCGTATAATTATTTCAAAATAGCGTGACTGACTTCGAAACTATTTAATAATAAAGATGCCTAGTGGGTTTTGTTCATTTGTTGTACCTTAATTTATATATATATATATATATATATATATATATATATATATATATATATATATATATATATATATATATATATATATATATAGCTAATTCAATAAGGTTATCCTTTGCAAACCTTAAACTCTAAAACCTTAAACCTTAAACTCTAAGCGCGCAAAGCATAATGGGAGCACTATTTAAGCAATTTAGAAAGCATATATGGAGCCCATTTCTTAGAGACATGGTAAATATGTGCCTGCGAAAACATTTCACTCACAAACAACTGCAATATTCAACTAACTAGCTTGATATCTGTACTCCCATCATGCTTTGCGCGCTTAGAGTTTAAGGTTTAAGGTTTAGAGTTTGAGGTTTGCAAAGGACAACCTTTTTTGAATTAGCTATATATATATATATATATATATATATATATATATATATATATATATATATATATATATATATATAAATTAAGGTACAACAAATCAACAAAACCCACTATAGACGGCCAGCCAACCTCAATAAAAGTGTCTCTAAAATGTCATTGATGGCATTTTTTGTTACAAGCTGGCAACTGGCGTTTTCGTATAGCTTAGGCACTGGAGAACAACGTTTGATAGGTTGCCACCTCTGATATCGACTTTAAAGTGAAATATTTTGAGAATCTGAAAATTTTGTCTATTAAAATTACTATACTCACTAAATTATGAAATTTGAAACCAACTTTCAGCAAAAATCACCTATATAATCAGAAAGTTCGGAAAAAAGTAGATATAGAACATTTAAGTGAGAAGTGTGAATTATAATCCTGTTTTCAGTTACGGGCGCTTAAAGTTGCTAAAAAACAGGTTTTGTGACGTCATTCACCGCATTTTACCTATTTTTAAGTGTCCATAACTCGAATTTGACTAAATAAATCGTATTACTCGTTTAAATGTCTTATATGTACTTTTTTATGTTCTTTCTAACGATATAAACGATGCTAATTTAAGTGAAATTCAAATTTCACATTTTTTTGGGAGTATAATAATTTAATAGGCAAACTGTTCAAATCCTTAAAATTTTCTCTTCGTTCGTTAAAATCAGACGTGGCAACATATCAAATGTGACTCACCAGTGTCTAAGCTATAAGAAAACGCTTGTTGTTTGCTTGTAACAAAAAATGCCATCGACAGTCATATTTTGATCGGCTGGCTGGCCGTCTACTAGGCATCTTTATTATTAAATAGTTTCGTACCACAGTATGTGGCACTCTTCAGATAAATTGACCTAATGACTATAGACTAAAACTTACAAGGTTATATGTACAAGTGGATGAGACATGAAACTTAATCCTATTTACAAAGCACGCGATTTAATAAACATGTTATATGATAAGCTGACAGGACGCGGAAAGATTAACACACCGCGGTATATTTAAATGTCTAGCTTTTAAATGTTACTTAAAAGGAATTTTTTATTATGCCTACATGCTGATACTAACTCATTACGTTTGTTTAAAGTGGCCATTTTAGGCTTACAAATAATAAAGTATTTCTCCCATAAACACAAATTACATCTATTTGAAGCACAGTTATAAGGCTTAGCTCGTTTTAATAGTTTCCATTTGATTGTATAATGGATATTTCGATTTTTCAATTTCCGCACATATTTGCTAAGTTCAGTAGCGTTCCGTTTGTCAAAAGAACAAGCCTCCCCGCGCCATATCAACAAGCCCTTGACAAAAGTGGATACAACCACAAGCTACAGTTCAAACACCCCCTAAGCCTAACAACTAATAACAAAACCCGAAGCCGTAAAAGAAAAATTATATGGTATAATCCACCATATAGTAAGGGTTACGGTTCACTAGTCCGAAGGTTCACTAGTCCGAAGGTTCACTAGTCCGAAGGTTCACTAGTCCGAAGGTTCACTAGTCCGAAGGTTCACTATAGCTAGTCCAAAACATACGCTGGTTTTGAATTACAGTTACGTGTTAAACTTGGCTGCTTCGCAGTTAAGCATTTTTCGTACCTGCATACACGCACGCACGGAAAATTTAAATCCACTTGAAAGTCTTTTGTCCACTTGAGAAATAATTAAATGAATAAAAGGAAAGCATTTAGTTTTGTGTTTGATTTTAAGTTCATCATTGAAATTTGTCCTGTGAGTAACATCTAGCTTGCACAAGTTGTGACTCATTAAGATAACGAAACAACATATTTTCTTTTATTTAATGCATATTTCTTCATGCTGCTTTACCTAAATGACAAAATTGCTATGCTAAAATAAAAAAGTGTTCAAAAGATTATTCTATTTATTATATTGTAGCTGTTTGCAGGACATAAATGCATAACTGAGAGTTTCATAATGATTGAGAGACAACAACGTTCAATTATTATTAGCTATCTACAACTGTAACACGCCATGACGTGGCCTGAATTTCCCAATCCTAAACCAATACCCTAAATCTGAACCAAAGAATTAGTGTAAATATAGGCACTTTTTGAGGTTCATTCTACCCTCAACAAATGTTTTAAGGTAGCTCCATACAATTTCTTCAATAAATTGTCCTAATGATTGCTCATACTAGGAAAAACTTTTAATAAAATAAAAATTGGGGGGCACCATTGTTGTCTTCGAATTAAACTAGTTTAAATGCAAATTAGCAGCCATTTTTTGAAATGCCATTGTTGCCATGGTAACCATAATTACGGACTTTTCCGTTACAGTTTCTGATTCTCAAAATACTGTTCTATATACATGACATCTGGTTTCATTCTTCTATAAAAATATCAATGTACAAAACTTTTTGGTCTGAGAGAAATTTTTCAAGAAACTGTATGGAGCCACCTTAAAGCGAATTATATATATTCAAGTATGACGTATATGTTCAAGTATGACGTCATGGTACTGCATGTTAGATAAGACCCAGCTCGAATTGCTCTAAAATGTAGTTACTAGATGCGATACTGCATTCCAATAACGCTGAACATCTCTGACTCCATTAATGTAGTCGGTCTTCAATCTCTGAAGTTGATTTTCTAACCGTTGCCAGCGGCGACGCCTTCGTGTGGGTTGCCCACCGTTATCCATAGAACGGATGCCTTGATTGGTTTGAGCCTGAAGATCCTTCAAATGCCTTATAAAGATCCACAAGTTGGGATGGCGTACTTGCACACGGTAGTTCCAAGCGCGATGAAAGCCTTAATAATAAAACCACTAAATTGAACAATTGCAAGTAATATATACGTGGACAAACGCGCATGAATATAAATAGGCAGTTATATACAGTTTTTCATGTCTTGAGTTTTGAGTTACGCTGCCACTTTTGTAGTTCTTGGAATGGTACCAAAAACATGAAAGTCTGTTTGTATCTCAGAGTTGATTCAATATAATTGTTATTTTTATATGGTTGTCATGGAAACACATTAGCAATCACGCCCATATGAACGACAAGATTTTAATGAGAATCACTTTAGAGATATCAGACTTTCGTCTTTTTGCTGCCATCTCAAGCACAAATAGTGCCGTCATGAGGACTGTCGAAGTACTGAAGAATTGTGAATACACGTAAATATATTGGCTGTTCCATCATTTAAATAAATAATAAAACAATTATTGATATGGAGAATTATCATGACCTCTGTTCCGGTTCGTGTTACTAAGCTCAACCTTAGACTACGTTGATAACACAAACTTCGGCTTGATAATTCTACATATCATGCGAAAACCGAATCACAATAATTGATAAATCAACTGCAATTACCTTCAGCGTTATTGTTTGTACAGCAATCCATGTCACGATCGTACACATTCCACAAAGTTACAGGAAAGTTTCCATTGATGTAGTTGCTGAATACGTAGTTGAAAAACTCCACCAAACCTGGATATCTCCTAAACAATCGCCGTGTCCTATTTTCTGTGCGCAGTAATGCAAAGTTATTTCTCACGATGGCTGTTGGCAAAAAACCGATGTACATTACTTTTCTAATGAGCTTCTTCACACGCTCGTGGTTTCGATAGGCCCGGGTCAAACCAAGGTCTTTGACATGGCGCCAGAGAGACTGGT